GGGTTTTTCTTCCCAAGGTGGAGAACCTTGCATTTTTTGGTGTTGAACACCATCAGGTTCTCGTCCACCCATTTCCTGAGCATGTCAAGGTCAGCCTGGATTGCCCTCCTGTCCTCAGTGGTGGATGCTTTACCCCAGAGCTTGGTGTCGTCGGCGAACTTAGCCAGTCCGCTTCTGACACCAATGTCTACATCATTAAATGAAAGCGTTGAATAGTGTTGGCCCAAGGACAGAGCCTTGAGGGACCCCACTGGTCACAGGGCACCATGACTGACTTTCATCAACCACCCCCCGCTGGGTCCAACCACGGAGCCAATTCCCCAGCCAGTAGATCATGGTGAAGCCCAGGCTGCAGTTGGCCAGTTTTGCCAAGAGGTGATCATGGGATACCAGATCGAAGGCTTTTTTAAAAGTCAAAATATATGACTTACAATCAGCCAAATCTTATCAGGGACAGTGATCCAAATCAACTAATCAAATCACTGTCCCCGATTCAGGCCGAATCCAAAATTGCAAAGGACCTGTTTCGCACACCCCTAAAACCAACCCATCTTTTCTAGTCCTCTGAATTTAAAGCCTCTGTTATAGGGCATAGTGGCACGCAAGAGGCAAACTTAAAAATTACACAGATACCATCCATTATGAAGTAACAAAGACCAGGGAGCAGAGAAGAAAGCATAACATGACTCACAAGAAGCAGTATAAGGGAAGATAGGATCAAAGCAGACACAGAAAAGTAGGAATACAATAGAGGAACAGCAAACACACAAGGGGATTGGGAGAAAAAAAAAATCTCATATGGAAAAGTGTATAAACTCTCACAGATCTCCCATCTGTGAGATCTCAATTCTGGCTGAAAACGTCGGGCACTACTATACTGTAGATGAGTGATTCTCAACTAGGGGGTCACAAGATCCTTTTACAGGTGCTGCAGTATGTAACACAATATTAGCACTGTTAGAACACCTACAGATGATTCACAAGATAAACCCTGATATTTCAAATAAGAATCCACAACATAAAACCACTGAAAAACGACAATGGGTCAAAAAAGTTCTCTGCAACATAAAAATCACTCTGGGTGCATCTACGTGTTCATTAATGCACCTTTTCTACTGTGCATTAAATTTAGTATCTCTAATGTGAAGCACTAAAATGCGCATTAGGCAGTCCTAATGTGCAGTAGTGAAAGTATATGGTTTTCTTTAGTGATGCTTAATGTGCGGCAGCCTACTTTTACTGCATATTAGCTTATTAGCATAGTTTTTGACATGATGCTTTATTATGCAGTAAAAGAGGCTACTGTGAATTCAAGCGCATGTGTAGATACAGTAAAAGTTCTGTTATCCGGAGTCTTACAAGCCAGCATACTCCACTAACCGGCATCCCGGCTTGTAAGATAAAGTGAAACCAGAAGTGCTCACTGTGGCACTTCTGGTTTCTCTGAGCCCTCATTGCTCGGGGCAAAGCAGCCTGCGCTGCCGAGCCCCCACACCCTGGGGGCATAACAGGCTGTGCGGGACCAGCCTCCCTGTCCCATGGGAGCGGCAGCAATGCCATGAGAGGGGCAGAGAAACACCCCAGACGCAGCGTGAGAAGCAGCAGCTGGGACCACTCAATTGACTGGCATATTTTGTTATCCAGCATCCTCCATTCCCGGGGAATGCCCGATAACAGAGCTTTTACTGTACTATGAAAAAATAACAGGAGCATTACAAGTGAAATCAGTGAAAGTAAAAGCTAGCTTTTCTGTGGGGTACCTTGCATCTAACAAGGGGTGCCTTGCATCGAATGAGGTCAAAAACCACTGCTCTAAATACACATTAGCAAGAATAATGAAAAAAGACTCTTGCCAGCTCCATAGGATATGCATGGAAGGAGTGAGAAGGGCACAGGCTCAAAAGGTACACAGCTGAAGTTTCCATAAATGAATATGTATACCCATGAAGAAAGGTCTCAGAATGATTTCACTTTTTTCTACCCACATCTGATAAATAGCTGTAAGTGATCAAATCTGTCTCTTCATTTTTAATTTTTGTTTTTAAATACAACTCTGTACAATAAAAATCATAACACTGGCTAGAATTTGCAAAGTGATACTTCTCAAAAGTCAGGAAGTATACAATGTTATAAAAAACACCACCAGGCAGGGTAGCATACAACTTTATAACTAAATACTGTCTATTTGCACATACACAATACTATATAGTAAATTATACACAAACAAGTAGAAGCAGTGTCCAGTGTTTAATCAGCTATTAGATAAAAGCACCAAAAAGCCCCACTGAAGCACCCCATCTATAGATGCTGCAGAACTAGGTCAAACTAAAGCACTGCTTCTTCTGGTAAAGCATTTTCCCCTCACATCTGTCAGCACCCTATGTTTCCAGGAGGAGTTACTCTCTTACACAGGCAGCCATTACTATGGAAACATCTCTTTCCCCCGCACCCTCTCCTCTACATTCTGCCAGCCAAAAACAAGGTGTATGCCTTATTTGGGGGCATGTAGTATGCAAGAAAATACAGTGCCTCCCAAGTATACCCCTGAAACCCGCATTTTCCTAGGTTTTACATATTTCACACTGGTTTACCCAAGTATTATGGTAATTTATTGACATGAGAAATGTCAATGCTTAGGCCACAGTTCTGTAAAGGATAACCATGAAGACATTCACACCTCCATGGAGTGACACAGACTCATACAGACTGTATTCCAACACTCCATTTAGGGAGGGGATATTGCAAAAACAACAACAAAAATGGACAAAGGAACAACTGTAGCACAAGTCCTAAGGTTAACCATGTATAGAAGCACTGCAAAGAGGCTGGCATACAGTAGGTTAGGAGCTTCCTTTCTACGGATAGTTGTAGATCAGCAATGCCTGATAGCTACACCCCACTGCCTCATTCACACCATGCCTACCCCAAAGCATTCATTCATCAGAAACCCAGCCAACTTCACCACTGGTTCATATCATTCACCATGAGAATATATATCATAGTTATAATTTTTTTCTCAGGCAAAATTACTTCTGATTCCATTCGAAATTTGGCATGAGGAAAAAAGTATAAAGATGAAGCCTATAAACTTCTGAGAACAAAACGTAATAAAATAAAATGTTTCTTCATCAATTATGTTATTATGCTGCTCTGAAGTTTTTTGGCAAAGTCAGTTTAGATGATTTATGATCTTAGAATTAACAGTGTTTTAAGATTTCGTTATATTATCAGTATTTTGAGAAAAAATACTAACAGAACTCTGTTACAAGCAAATATTTTGATGATAACAGGCTGACTTGGCCGTTCAGTTGCACAATTATATAGCAAAAATTAAAATAGCTGGGAATACTTAAATGTATCTGACATGGAAAAGTCATTATATATCATTTTCATTTTTTCTTTAACACTCAATTTCCAATAGAAGTCCTTTTTCATGAAAGAAAATAAACCCATAACTTCCTAAAAATATATGCAGAGAAAACAGCAAAAAGTGTGTTCATTTACATTTTCATTACTCAAAGATAAATCCTATCATTGGCAGAGACCCAAATTTAATTCCCCGAGGTGTACATACCACTGAATAATTTGTCCAAATGTCAGTTGTAATTTTCAAAAATCCTTTCTTGCCTCTGAATCTTAAACATCTGTAACAAATACTTGTTTTGAGAGTGCTTTACATTTGTGACACTTGACCTTTTGCTGTATGCACCACAAAATTTAAGTTTCAAATGCCATGCAAGCAGGAAATCTGATCATGCCAGCAGTAGCCACCTGCATGGTCCAATATCAAATATTAGTTCTGGGTTGCACAAAGTCATGTGTTACAAATCTTTTTCTGCAGCTTTTATAATTAGTTGTAATTTGCTGCTTCTAAAATGTGTTTCTTTAGGACATCTGGCCTTGAAATCTCTACCTTAGCATTGGAAAAATACTTAGTAGCTGGGTGTTGGAGCTCTATATATATATTTGGAACACTGCATGGGTGGCATACTTACGACCAGTATTTTTAACATTAAAAAGAAAAATAATCTAATTCCAGAAATAGATGGTCTTTCATTAGAAAATGCTTTTAATAGGGACTTAATACAAACACCTTCTCCAATATAATTATTTTCAGATACCTAAGTATTGATAGCAAATACTAAACTGAAGTAATCCATAGTATGCATAAGTTACACGTTTATTATGTAAGAGTATGAAGTAATTATAATTACAATATCGACTGTAATTATAAATCTAGGGGAAAAAAGTAACCTAGAATTTAGTTGTCATATTGACTAAAAAACTCTGATATCAAAGTGTTTCCAACTATTCTGGTTGTCAAGTAAATTAGAAAGCCACCAAGATGATACCACTACACAATTAAAATGTTATTGTAGTAGAAGTAAAAATATTCATGAATTATGTGAGGATGTAAAAAAATAAAAATAAAGAGCTTTTTAAATACACTTAAATACAGCATCCTCCAAGATGACTCTATGTTTTAAAATCTATATAATGTCATAAAGCAGAAGGTGGGTACATCAAAGTTTTAGGAATTTTAAAGCACTTCTACAGTAACAACATTCTGAAAACAGTGACTTGTGGTGCTTCTCAAGCAACCGGACACAACTTCTTGGGTGGTAAAAGCTAGAAGCACTTAGGATGCTGTATTGCTCTTGAGATTCATTTGCTCCTAGTTATAGGAAAATTCTGGCAGAGAGTATGCCATTAACCTGCTTTTGCACCTGCAGGAACAACACTATAGTGAATAAAGTTAGAAGATAGGAAAAAATGTATAGAGGCAAGCATCATAGTCCCTGTAATATTACTATGGATTACCACCTGAGTGTACACAGGCTTTTTCAGAGGGGCAACGAAAAGCAAAACAGCAAATATAAGGCCTTCTGCAATACAACATGAACTATTGATTATTTTCTTTAAAAAAACAAAAAACCAAAAAAAAACCACCACCTTTTAATTTTAATTATTCAATGTTCATGAACTCATAAGTTTCTTACCTGGGCTCCATCTTTTAATTTCAAGATGCACTCCATTGTATTGATAGTGATGACAACTGGTTCCGAGCCTAGTTTTGTCCATGGTACATGAATTCTTAACTCATGAATGTGTCCACTTAAAAAAGTAAATGGTAGCTTCAACTCCTAAAAAAAGATAATTGTGAATGAATCCATTAGCTATTTTTAAACTTGAATTTTAAGTGTCAAGAATGTTTGCCATTTTTTAAAAACAATAAAACTATAACAAAAAGTCAAAGGTTTCTTTCTTCCCCACAGACAATGATGTGGTACAACTCTTAGCACTTTGGTTAATAACTGCTCTCACACATTTATTTGTTTAAATGGTTCAAAGAAAACATCTGGATACCAGTATGTCCAAGATAATTAAAGAACATGGTCTAAATCAGTCACTCTTATATGCAGCTAGTAGGTGCCAGTAGTTCAGAAAACAACCTTATTAATGGCAATTAACAACCTTATTAATGGCAATTAACAACATGAAGATAAATAATAACATTGATGCTCATTCTGTCTTATTTATAGAGCCTGGAGAGTGCATGGAACATACTGGACAGAAGATTAAAGACAGAAATGGGGAAGCTCCTTGTCCCATAAATCTATTACTGTATAACCTCATAAATCCAGTTTTCAAAATTCCAGAATTCTGAAAAATCCAGCACTTTTTAAAAATACTCTTCATCAGAGGTTTTCAACCTTTTTTGACCAGTGTACCCCTGGCAGCCAGTTGTGAAGTCGGGTGGCAGGAGGGGGACAGAGTAGGAGGGGGTGGTCACACGCAGAGTGGTGGCATGGGGTGGCAGATGGCGGTGGCAGCTGCCACATGCAAGCTTCCCCCCCACCAGGCAGCACCAGGCTATGCACTTTCCTTACATTTCAAAAATCCAGAATTTTCAAATTTCCGGCAGGTGCTAGGTCCCAAGGATGCTGGATTTATGAGGTTATACTGTACTACTAACAGTGAGAGCCACTGTGCTCAACATCTTTGGGAACAAGCCAAATTAGACAACATCAAGAAAGGACCACAAAAGCTGCAGTTGGCATTTAAAGAATAGGGAGCAATGCTGTCTTGTTAGTTCATATAGCAGGATGTATGGCTCAGGGGCTGCAGCCCAGCTGCAAGCAGCTAAAAGAGGACTGCCTATCAGCACTGGGCCATCTGAACAGGATGACTGGATGGACCACATGTTTAAAGCTCCCAGGAAAAGCTGAGGTGGCAGCCCAGAGCCATGATTCCGCTCTCAGGGTCTGGGAAAAGACTGCAGGGTGTGAGTTAGCCCTTTATTGTTTATATATTTATTTATTTTGTGATGATATTGTTTCCTGTGGGGACTGACTCAAGGAAAACAAAACTGTACTGTAAACAGTGACAACCCACTACAGATGGTGAAGAACATGGACATTCTAAAACCAACTCTAGTAATGGAGGCAAGAGCCCTGATAAAATGGCTAGAGGACTTGCAGCAGCAACAACAGCAGCTGTTTCAGCAGCTCCAACTCCAGCAACAGCAATTCCAGAAGTAGCAGCAGCAGCAGCAACTGCAGCAGTTCCAGAGGAAGCAGCAGCTACAACAGCAGGACTTTCTGAGACAGCAGCTGAAGTGGAGGCAGACCCCCACCCATGTTGGCGAGTCATCTGGATCCTTGATGATAGTGGCTGGAGTCCACGCCAAGATGGCGCCTGCAAATGAGCTAGAGGCTTCTCTCAAAACTTCTGAACAGGTGGCAGAGACCTATTAGTGGCCACAGGACACAAGGGCTACAAGGATGGCCCCTCTGGTACCTGGGAAAGGACAGGCTACTAACCAGGCCCTTGGAGCAGACATGCCCCAAGATTACAAGACATTCAAAGCACCCACACTGCACCAATTGGGTCTAATGAAGAAGGGCTTATCATCACAAGTTTCAGTTAGAGAGCTGGGACCTAAGTACCCAACTCTGGGCCATGACCAAGAAGCACCCACTGGCTAAACCTGGACTCCTAGTTAGTGGTGGAGATTGTGGAACCAGTAACATTAGAACAGTTCTGCACCATCCTCCCAGCAAAAGTCCACAGTTAGGTGCATCACCACTGGATGGCCAGCATGGAAGAAGCTACCCAGAAAGCTAAGGACTTCATGTTGGGAGAATAAGATTTTCAGAATTCCTGGGGAAGCTGACAAACTCTGGGCCTGAGGAGATTGGGCTTACTGGGAAAACAGGCTGGGTCTTCAGGGAGTCCTCCAGTAGGGGACCTACCTCCGTTTCCACTGAGACCCTAACCAGAAGGATGGCCCTTAGGTGGCCCTGCCAGAGAGTAAAGCCATCTGGCACATCCCAATAGCCCAGAAGGAGAAAAGGAGGCTCAGATGACATGCTTCCGATGGGGAGAGAAAGGCCATCAATATCAAGACTACCTGCATACGGACTGTGGATACACTCATGCGTCTGTCACAGGAGGCAGGAGAGCCCAGACCTAAAGGATATATGTGGTCCTGGTAAAAATCGGAGATGTCCATGAGGTAGGGATGTGAAAGGTTAAACGAATAATCGTTTAACGAATAAGTGTGATAATAAGCGGTTAGCTTACTAGTTATCCTTTAGCTTGGGGCTAATGCAATGTGACAGGGAAAGGCGGGAGAAGCCGCACAGTGCCCTAGCAGAAGTCAGAAGGCAACAGGGCAGGCAGGAGGGTGGAAGGGCAAGGGGACTAGTACCCATAACCTAAAAGCAAAATAGCCAGCAGCCCAATCCAGGGATCCAGGTTTTCTGCTTCCCACAGAAAAACTGAGAAAACCACAGATTCCCTGTTTTTATCAAAGAAATCCACAAATTCTCTGCTTTTGCACAGAGCTCTTGCAGGCCGGCAGAGTTCCAGCCTGCAAGACCTGATTGCAGAAAGGGTGAGAAACCCTCAGCCCTGCCCAGAGGGGGAGGGAAAGGAGGGGACTGAGCTTCTGAGTCAGTCAAGACTGGACTCAGGCTCACCCTTCATCCTTCGCCCCTGGAGCCTGGAGTGGGACCTGAGGGTTGTGGGGCAGGACTGGGGAACGTGGCTGAGGGAGCAGGAGGTGCCATCAGACCCAGATGGCACACCACAGCTCCTCCCTGCACAGCTCCTCCTCCACCTCATCCCACTCCCAGAAGCAGCCGGCCGGCCTGAGGGGGGTATGCATACATAGGCCGCCACTGCCACCATGGCCCACACTGCCTTCCTGTAGCTGGTCACACAGCTTTGCGAACAAGCGGCGCGGGGCAGTGGTGGCTGCCACGTGAGGGCTGCACGTGTGCCGCCCAGCTGGCTGGCCTGAGGCGGGGTATGCACACATAGGCTGCCAGTGCCACCACGGCCCACACTGCCTTCCTGCAACTGGTCACACAGCTTTGCAGACAAGCGGCGCAGGGCAGTGGTAGCTGCCGCATGAGGGCTGCATGTGTGCTGCCCAGCCGGCTGGTTGGGGAGGTGCTCACAAGAGGCAGCCACCACTGCACTGCTGCTCTGCAGCCAGCTGCACAGCTCTGTGGCCATAGCTCCACAGCAGCAGCAAGGGATGATGACTGTTGGGGGCAGGAGGGGAGGAGGCTTGCACACAGTGGCCGCCACCACTGCCACTTGCCTGTGGAGCCGTGCCCACAGCAGCAGCCGCTGCATACAAAAACTCCCCGTGCCACCATTGCCACTGTGGAGCCATGCCTGCAAGCTGTGCAGGCGGCCATGGGGCAGCCACAGCAGTGTGGTAGCAGCCACGGCCACCATGTGCAAGCCCCCCCATCTGCGGGCACGGCTCCTTAGACAAGCAGCAGAGGCGGCCTGGGATGCTGGTGGTGGCTGCTGCGTGCTGCCCGGCCAGCCAGTGTGGGGGAGGGAGGAAGGGTTCACACATGGCAGTCACCACAACCTCGCACCACCGCTGACGCTTGTCTGCAGAGCGGGGCCCACAGATGTTGGGAACCTGGCATGCAGCTGTCACCACCCTGCACTGCCATGGAGCCATGCAGCCAGTGGCAGGGCATGAGCGGCAGGGCAGTGGCAGCTGCCTCATGCAAGCTCCCAACTGGGCAACATGTATGCAGCCCACACGCGGCAGCCACCATCACTGCCATGCCCCACACCGCTTGCCCACAAAGCCGTTCAGCTGGCCGCAAAATGGCAGCGCAAGGTGTCGCAACAGAGCTGCAGTGTCAGCCTCCATATGCGAACCCTCTCCCCATCAGGTGCCCCTGCCCTCACCCCCCAGCCCAGCTCCTGGGAGTGGGCACAGGTACCCTCTTCTTGATCTGCCCCCCAACACCTTCCCTTTCCCTTGCCCTGCCCCGCCCCTTCCCTCCCCACACACTTACCTGCTGGGGTGGGTGTCAGTGTCTG